AACCAAGGAGAAAGTCTTGATCTCCACAGCGCAACACAGGAAAATGTGGATCTACGTGGTTGCTCAAGTGTTATGGACTGATGACCGGATTTATTGCGATCTTTGATACAGAGCGTCTACACTTTACAGATCACCTTTACACACACTTTAGTGTCCAAAGTCATATCTTCATTAGCCGTTGCTCGGTAGCGGCTTCCAAAGGCGGATAACCCCTTCCTCTAGGTTAACAAACTCTCCTCGGCCTCAGTTACCAGCTTCTCAAAGCAACAGTTCATAATTACTGGACCCCAGCAGTTTTCTCGCTCACTAACCAATTCCAATGGTTAACTCCCAGTCTAGAAGCCATCTCACACCAACCTCCTATTCTTCTAACTCTAACTATTCTGCGTATAACACCTCGGCACGGATCGCACAGAAAGCACCGTCCCTCATTGTTGTAGTTCAATTGTTGCCGTGTGGACATGCTTGTTTCTGAAGCCGTTAGTCAGTAATAGCTTTTGAATATTTATCTCGCGGTCGTTGCCCGGCAATGGATCTAGATACCACAATACTGCCACGTGTAAGGGGGTACGCATGACTAATAATTGTGGGTTCTAGATTTGATGGTTGGATTTATTGGGGTCTCTATTACAATTACATTTGATTACAACAGTTCACACACACTGAACTCCTTCTTAATAACGAATCTCTCACTGTTGTCTCGATCTTGCACTGGTGTCTAGCCTCTATTCTTCTGTTTGAACTCTGCTGACTTATGTTTGGATCTTTCTGGAACTCCTGACTCAACTAATCCATTGCTCACCTGTTTAATGTTTCGGCGAACCGTGTAGAAGTCACCTCTTTTAACAGTACAGTTATTGCGTTCCTAGCCGTTACTGTGCCTTTAACGATTCGTTGCCGTGGATATCGACTTCCAATCAGTTAAATTTACACTGCATGCAGTGAATCGCTAAAACCGTTGCGTAACAGTGGGTATATATTCTTGAATGCTTAGGAACATGTTTACCTGTTCGTTTCTTAGAAGCGGCCCAATCTGTCATAATATGATACCGGCATTTGTTCAGCTAAAGACCATTCGGCAAGCAGAAAAATTAATCAATCTTACCTCCTCCACAGCTCCTTGCGAAAGACCAAGGATACAGCACTCAGCCACTGAGACCCCGTTATCAGACAGTAGAACAATGTAGGATTTACGTACGGGTCGAATAAGCTATAGCTTTGGGCTTCGCAGTCCGAGGGACCTCCACTTACTGAGAAAACAAGCCACTCAGAAGACAAACACAAAGTTCTCTCTAAAATGGAATATAACAAACGGCTGGCTGTATCTAGTCTGGCAGGAGTGGCGAAAACAAGACACACAGAAACTAACTGCGACATTCGGGAACTACTGGGAGACGTCATTGATCCTCGCTTTCAGTTCAGTACTTACAAATCCCTAATTCTGATGCAGCACATTTATCCTTGCCAAGCCAATTTTGGCCTTTACGTGTTTGTGCAGTGCCGTACACTATAACATATATTTAATTCGCATAGTAGGGGGTGGAGTTCAATTGGGTCCACTCGGTACGGCGGCCACTGATTGGCCTATTGTAGCGTACCCCGGGTGATTATGATAATGGAGAATTTGGTGGAATAAAGATTGACAGGGGAAACCGAAGTACTCGGAAAAAACCTGCCCCGGGGGCCACTTTGTCCACCACAAATCCCACTTGGCCAGACCCGGGCCGCCGCGGTGGGAAGCCAGCGACTAACCGCTTGAGCTATGGCGCGTCCTTACATACATTTAACTTTTAGCTTTATTGGAAAGATATATAAGGGCCTCATCTTCATAGTCCATTCTTGTACAATTTTAATTTTTGTTTTAATAGTCTTTAAAATTTTCAATTTTATTATCTAAGTATAAGTATTTTAAATTTTAACTGAAAGATTCAATTTATGCATTTAAAAACTCTCAAGAGCACAATAAGGATCCTTATTGAAGAATTAGATGCAAATAATTAGACACAATTCAACAAATGAGACTGGTATCATTGTACATCTGATGATGACCCAGTATAAGGGTCGAAACATGTAGCGTCAATAAAAACAAACGTTGATACGATAGTGTCTACTTTGATTTTAAATACAGAATATTGTTGTGTAGACTGCATATTTTTATATACATTTATATACCCTATCTTCACATTAACTTGGTTCTTCACGCTATCTTAAACCGGTAGTATGTCAGATCATCAGAAATGTTTCAAGCGTGATGGGGTACACTGGGGCACAACACTAGATACATGTTGGAAGGGGCCATGCTTCCAACATACTGAAACAGGATGGAAAGCAGGGGGCTGTAAAATGATGTGCAGCCCCATGTGACAACAAATCTCCTCCCCTCTATTTAAAAATATCTGAAAATTTGTCATAATAAATAACACAAAATTCTGGGACAATGAAAACACATTTGTGTCATGTTATTTTATTTGTGTTGCTCTGTGACTTGTTTAGATTATTGCCAATTAATGTTCACAACATGGACAATAGATCACCAAAATTAATTTTCATTTAACAAAATAAAAAGTTTGTGAAACATGTGATAGCTTCTTTTGCCTGTGCTGTCATGCCCTCCCTGAAGTAATGGTCCACCGAAAACACACGTACCTGGTTAGGTATCCTGTACTCCTGAGACCAAATTTCGGTCACTATCATACAGATAAGTATAAGTGTATTGTCATGTGGCTCAGGCATTTAAAGTGTAAGCATTCTCTTGCTTCATTGGTTTCAAATTCATTCAGTGAAGAAAAGTATATCATGCCGAAGCAATAAAGTGTCGTTTGTAATAATAATGAATGCATATAGGCACTTAATTAGTACAAATTGATAATTGTTACAAGTGAAGTATTTGTATCGATATGGTAGTACTCCTTCACAAAATAATTCCTGTTACGTTCAATGACATCCATTCATGATGTATTTAAACTCTGATGTATGAGTAATATGTTCCTTTCCACTGTTTGGTATACCTAAAAATTCCTCTCTTAGGTATTGTTAAGCTCTACAAATTATTCTACCTCCTATCCAAGCAGGGTTCACCCAGACTACACCATTATCTCTCGACTCGCTACATACCTTCAGCGGACTGCAAAGCCCAACACCACGTGCCCATACACAGACTATGGAAAAACCTGCAAAGTGGGACAACATGGTGGCCAATCACAGACACAATCAAGGCAGTATATGAAGAAGTGCTTGTGGCGAATTCTGCTGGGAGATGCAGATGCTTTGATCACATCTTCAGTGATGCTGCTGGTCTATCCTGCCAGATGTTATGAAGTGATTCTATAGGCTGTGCTTTTCAAAATGAAACAAAACTTGCCTCTTCTGTTTCCCTCATTTTAGTGCACAAGAAAGTCCAAGAATGAGCTTCCTCGTTGCGGAATCCCAAGATAATGGAAAATAACCGAATCGTATCCTGACCATATTCCTGAATGCCAGGAGTATCCCATGAGAGCTTTCAATGTTGTTCTACATGTAACAGCATTTAGTTCACTTTCTTTTTGCTCATTTGTATTCGTCCATATTCTTTTTTTTTTTTACAAAGGAAAGCCTCTTCTAATCTGCCACAAAAACCAGATACTGATGCAAAAACACTTTTATGTTTTTAGGCGAAGTCTATGCAGGTCTCTCTGTTGCGGTATTTTTGACAAGGAAGAAACACTTGAGAGCGTAAATACATAATTCATGTTCCCAGGCATAATGCATCCAATTTTTGGTGAGTAAATGACTGGGTTGAATTTATCCCAACTCCGATCCATTCTCGTACCACAGAATATCAGGTCTGACAGTCCTAGACAGAACTCCAATGAACAATCTAATAAATAAATACAGTATGTGTCAACCAAAGTAACTGGCATAAAATATTGATATGGGTCAGCCCAATGGATTCCTTCAATGCCATGGCTCTTAAACTAGGAATTATATCTCTTAGCCACCAGCGACTTGTCATAATAATTGCATGATTATAGGTTGCAGACGTTATGGGGAACAAAGCTTTAATGTCTGCTTCAAGAAATTATCCCAACAATTGTCTTAAATGACTGAGAAAATATACATAAATTGATCTAACTACAAAAATGCTCATTCATCACTTTAATTTTTCTTAAAATAACTATAATGAATAACAAAATTACTTACTATGACAATCTTACGAATATATATTTATGTTAATCAGTGTTTTATTTATCACTGTGGCACCACAGTGCGATCTCTTAATGCATTAAATACTTCTAAAGAAATTGTTATTGTATGTATATCACTTATGCACTGTAAGTTCAGTTATAGTCGCCTTCAGTCGCTCTGGAGAGGAAATAAAGAACACTAGACAAGGGAAAGTTCTGATAGCAAGATA